CCGACGTCACAGACATTGCATACGCCCGCTGCGACACTAAGCAACAGCCTGAGCGTTCCTCTGATCTCTGGCCCAAACAGTGGCTACGCGTCCTCCGCGGATCCTATGCCTCCATTCACGTCTCTATCCTCGGTAAAGTATCGGGGTCTACCCAGTATGCCGATAACCAGTATGTCCTCGATGCAGCCGCAGCCCATGTCCCATGGAGCGGATAACTGCAACTTCCCCCGTCTACCGTTGCCGCCGATGAATATTAATTACCGGCAGGGGGTCAACCATTTAGCGAACATTCTTCCTCCACACTCAATGCAGACCGCTGTGCAGCCCCCACCCCCGCCCGCCCAAGCGCCGCTTCCAGTTCTCAAGAATCAGGACCTGTCTGCAGTTAAAGGACCTTCTAGGCAGGCATCGAAATCAAGCACATCAACGTCTTCGTCGAGCTCTTCATCATTATCGTGTTCGACATCGACTACTCCTGTTTCTATAGCTCTCGGCCATAAAAGGTCTAGTACGGAGCAAAATCTACCCAAAGGACCCTCTCCTGCGCTCAGCCCCCGTCGAGACCTTATGTCACCGTTGCAACAGCCTCGGCAAAGTCCTGACAGCGTTATTCATAATAGCAATAGCAGTAGCAACAACAACAATCGAATGGGCTCGGTTGTCAGTCGATCGCCTTCGATGGAACCACCACTTAATGCTCCTCAACTGCATCATCACAATGAGCAACAACAGCAAAACACCCAGAATCAACAGCAACAACAACAACAACAGCAACAACAACAACAGCAGCAGCAGCAGCAGCAGCAACAACAACAGCAACAACAACAACAACAGCAGCTATGCAACTACTCAGCGGAGAGCCTCATCGGACCACCAATAGTTCAGTTCCCTAGCTTACGGAGCACGAGTCATCTAAACTCCTCATATTCTGCCGAAAGCCTTCTGCAGTCTGACTCGGCAGACGTAGGCGTATCCCTATCGTCAGCAGGCTCGCCAACTTATATTAGCGGTAAAAATCATTCCACGGGATGTTCGAGTGGAAAGCCAATCGTCTCGACTCAGTCTGTTTCTATGAACAGTTATAGCTACGGGTCTGTATCGCCAGCAAACGAGCGTAACACAAAATATCAGAGTGGTCACGGTCAACAGCAATCGAGCACGACAACGACGTACGCTCCGTACAATCTGGATAGCTTCAATTCAACAAGCGGAAGCAGCTCTAACTCATCGAATAACTACTGTTCGTCGATCCAGCAAAACAACAGTAACTCGTTTGGTGGAAGCATGAACACTACTTGTGACTATTTCACGCCACGGAACAATACAACGCCCGACTATGGACTAAATACAGGCAGTAATGGATTGGGCCAGTCAACTGGTACGGTTATGAATGGTGGACATTACCATACGCCACACGGACACAACCATGGCTTCCATCCGCAACCGCCGGTAAGTTTAGGCAATCCTGGTGATTTTGCACCGCCTCCCATACCGTCCGTGAATTCGCTCAATCTCCACGAGGCGGCCACTGGTCATCTGATGAATAATTTCGTTCCGCCGCCGGTCACGCCCGTCCCTCCATCATTCTTAGCACCCCCAAGTGCTGATAAAAGTTCGAAACAGAGCTCGTCAACCATTTTCGGTATACATCCACCACCCCCGCCGTCATCTTCAGTGTCGAAGTGCCCTCCGCTGACGTCCAGTTACGCTCCGGTCCCGCCAGTTCCCGGCGGTTGCGACAATTCGGGTAGCGATAGTGGTCGAAGTAGCAAGACTTCATCGGGCGGCTCGTCAAAGGCCGCGCATAAGACGAGGTCTAGCCAATCACTTGATAGCTACCCTATGCCGACATTGGACAGATCTTCGACGGGCTCCACGGGACTGGGCTATTTTGATTTTAATATGGCGCCCTCGAGCGGCACGTTCAATAACTGTGGTCCAACACCGTCCGTCGTTGGTGCGACTGGTCAAAAAACTAGTACAACAAGTCAAAACCATCGGGTGTGGCCTCCAGTCACACCCACGCCGCCATCGAGCGATGCCAGCTGTTCATCATACCTCTTCCCTGGACATGGACCGACAGTGACAAGAGCCACAACATCCAGTCATGGATACCACAACCCCATGTCAAATATTGGATCCAATGCCGTTGGTCAAAGTACGACGAATTTCAATCTCAGCAACATCTTCCCAGATATCGGTAACTGCGGTCAACTGCCAGGTGCAAGCTCGGTGGGTCCAGCTGGTGTAGGAAGCGGCCAAGATTCGCTGTACGGGGCACGACCTCCTCACGTAGGAGTTCTGCCAAACGCATTCAATGGTATATTGCCTCCACCTAGACATTCAGGATCCACGTCAAGGAGCTCCGGGTTTGGACTCTTTGATTGAGGGATTTTGTTACTTTAATAAGAGCGGCCGGAGTAACTAGTTTTACTTCCACTTAATGTCTTTGCTCTCCGATATTTTATTTAGTGGGAGTTTCCTTGCAGTAAACATTCTAACTTACTCCACAGTATCGCAACGGATGAGCTACTTTTGCACTTGTATTGATATTCAACAGCAAAAGTGTATGGGTGGGTTAACTAAGCAGAGTTTTTCCACGCCAAGTTGCCATGAACGATCGGTTAACTGCACGACCGACTATAATTACTGTATAGAATTTGACTGCGAGTTTGGAGATCGCTTATATAT